GTAAATAGTATCCATCGTTGTATGTATAAGTTTCGTTAAAATTTTAAATTCTTAGTCAGTATGCATAATGAAGAGCATGTCACTCGTGAGTCAACACATTTTTAACCTTAAAAATCATAATAAAATCAAATGCAAATTATAATAACATATATGAAATCGTATGAATAACGTATCAGTAGAATGAATAAAAATAAACAATGCGAGTCAACACGAGTCGATGCGAGTCATAGTTTGACGCTTTATTATTGTAACGTTTAAAATCGTGGGAAATTGCTTGAAATCGATTGTAATTGTTTACTAATATTTATGTGACTTACTTTGACTCGAGAGTGACATGCCCTTCGATGTATAAGTAACATAGTGCATGTTACAACTCGGAATTGTCACACTACAATTTTAAGTGTCGATGTAACAATAAGAATATGTGTAAACGCCTTTTATTTACATTAAAATTTAAATAATAACTAGTAATAAGGCTTTATAAGAATAAATAAAAATAATAAGTTGGAGGGCTATAAGAGCCAAAAGTTATGTATACATAAAAACGTTTAAAATACAAACATGAAAATTAAAACAAATACATATACAAACGTTTCGACACCGATCGGGTCATTCTCAATGTTAAAGATACTTATTACAAAAACTTAGAAGATCTGTAAATTACATATATTACATCATATATTCTATTTTACTAATTCTATGTAGTTTATTATTAGTGCTTTTGAATCTCATCATTGTAAGTTATTTTGTTAGCTGCACAAGTCAAATGATAAAAATTTTTTGTCAAATTATTTGTTGAATAACGTAATGTAAATCTAAAAAGTGACCGTTAACACATATAATTATTGTTAATGTATACATGTCAAGAAGAAACTAATACTATTAAATAATATAAAAAATATATATATATACCTTGTTAAATAAAGTGTTGAGAGTTGATATTGTTAGAAAAAGTTGCCGTAAAATTGAAGATATAAGTGCAGGCTTCTACCATATCAGAAACGTAATGTAGAGGAAACAAGAAGACAAGTGATAACTGGAGAAGGGGAATTAGTTAATTGCTAAGAAGGGGAAAGAGAATGTATGATGTTAGACTAGTTCTGGTAATGAAACCGTATCATTTTGTTTATTGATACCATTTTGTCTTTTAATATGTACCATTTCAGATATTAGTCTCTCATTATAAGAAGGTTCTATATTCAAAGTATCCACCTTATTCCATTTAAAATTATGATTATTCTCAATTCGGTGATTGGAGATAACAGATGGAGATTTGCTTTTTTTATTGATATCTGAAACATGCTCATGCAATCTAGTCTTTAGTTGTCTCTTAGTTTGGCCCACGTAACTAACATCACAGTTGTCACAGGAAATCTTATAGACTACATTCTGATTGTGTAACGGTTCTAGCTGGTGCTTACCTCTTTTTATTAAATTTTTATGTATTAGAAATAAGAAATGCTAGTTTGCAATTAAGTGTGTTAGCAATTGCCGCAAATTTTTCAGAAATGGAATTGTGAAAAATTTTTCTTCAATTTTTTTATTACTGGAACTATTTCGATTGTTAATATAAAATTTAATTCTGTTTTGAATAGTCGAAAAGATAATCGATAAAAAATATCCATTATTTTAAAAAATATTGATAGCATTCATTAAATTACTTTTCATTACCAGAAATGTGTTCTAACATCATACATTCTCTCTTTCCCCTTCTTAGCAATTTCCTAATTCTCCTTCCAGCTATCACTTGTCTTCTTATTTCCTCTACATTACGTTTCTGATATGGTAGAAGCCTGCACTTATATCTTCAATTTTACGGCAACTTTTTCTAACAATATCAACTCTCAACACTTTATTTAACAAGGTATATATATATATATTTTTTTTATATTGTTTAATAGTATTAGTTTCTTCTTGACATGTATACATTAACAATAATTATATGCGTTAACGGTCACTTTTTAGATTTATATTATGTTATTTAACAAATAATTTGACAAAAAATTGTTATCATTTGACTTGTGCAGCTAACAATATAACTTACAACGATGAGATTCAAAAGCACTAATAACGAACTACACAGAATTAGTAAAATAAAATACATGATATAATATATGTAATTTACAGATCTTCTAAGTTTTTGTAATAAGTATCTTTAACATTGAGAATGACCCGATCGGTGTCGAAACGTTTGTATATGTATTTGTTTTAATTTTCATGTTTGTACATTAAATGTTTTTATCTATACATAACTGGCTCTTAGCCCTCCAACTCATTATTTTTATTAAAATTTAAATTTATAAAATATGATGAAATCAAAAAAACATCCTTCCGGAAGTTGAACTTTATTAATTATGATTAATATGGAAAGGGATGAACACTCATTAAAAACTAAACATTACAACATACAATTAAGATACACACCTTCGGAGAAAGATTTGACAATCTCTTCTCACATTGTGACTTTAATTTGTACACGTCCATCGATATTTAAGAACTAACTCTTGTGTGAGTAATATTGATGTTAACTATCCCTCGTGTTGGTAACCTACTGCGCTTTGCGTTCATCTGTAGGCCAAGAACCCCTAACGTCGGCTTAGAATGCAGGGTTGTAATTGATGAATAAAACGCCCCGTGAAGAATTCACTAAAATATACATCAAATAAAAAGGTACGATGTAGTAAAATCAATAAAAACCACATATTTTCTCTTATATGATATTAAATATATGTACAATTTTACAATTCATCTTCTCTTTTTTATTTTACATAGGAACATCTTTACGTTGACATACAAATAAAAAAGAGGTTTATGAATTATAAGCACAATTATATACTTTTTTAATTTTTATATATTTAATATATTATTTATTATATAATAATCATGTTCTAATAATACCTATATTATATTTATATATTTAAATAATAACGTTAGCGTAATAAATTCTGTGACTACATATTTTATATTAGATTGATCGTTTATAATAATGTTGAAAAAAATATTTCAGTATTTCATGTGTAAAAATTAATTTGGTAGATGCTAGTATACAGCCATGGTGGCAAATTATATTCTAGTACGTATAGATGTATGGCTTCTTCTTAGTTATTTAAATGTGGATTAGCCGACTTCATACTTGTCTTGATATTACGATTCGAGTTGAGAAGATAGTCACGAATTGACCTCTTCTTAGTATTAGAAATTTACTGCTCGACCTCCCTTAATCAGATCATCCAACTACTGCGTTTCGCATAATTGAACCGGACAAATTGATTTCCGTGTTTGGAATTCGTTATTTCTTCCTTTCCTCTCTCTCTCTATAGAAATTGGAAAGCAAGTATATGTTTATGCATTTTTGCAAAGAATATTTGTAATAAGAACAGGATGGTGTTATCTGATCAAGTTTATATAGACGTATAGAAAATATGCATATATACATACATTTTACATTTACAATAATTTACAACGTTAAGGTAACATAAAATATTTAGAAAATAAGTGCTAAACAATATAGCTAAAACAATATTTATACTTGAATGAAATTAAATCCTCGAAATATATTAAATATATCTATAAAAAGTTTACATAAACTGAATACTTTTTAAGCTATTAAAATATAAAATAAACATTTTACTTATCTATTTTTTCAAACATTAAATGCTAAAAAGTCATATTTTTTATATAATGATTAATAACTATACTTAATCATTAAATTACTTTCCTTTTTATGACGCTCTACTTTTTCAGATTTAGAGTACTATTTAAATAAAAAAAGAAACATTTAAATAATTGTATATATATAACAATGCCATCTATCTATTTTAAGAACAACATTATTAAAAGTTTATCGATAAAATATTTATTGTCAAAATCGTTACTAAAAAAATATTTTATTTACTTATAGCATAAAATTATTTATTAACAAATAGTATATAAAACGTAATTAATTTTTTATAATATTTACCTTATTATTGATGACATTATCTACTGATGATAGAACCTCATTTACCGGTAGAGGTTTATATAGAGTTTATATGGAAAGTGTTTTAACAACTTTCCTTATTTATCTACAAAAATATAGATTATATAATTTATTTTACTTATCTACAAAAATATAGATTATATAATTTATTATTATTATTATTTAGTATTATAGTATAACGCGTCTTGTAATGCAACTTTTTGTATTTGTATTTAAACAAAAAATAACATAAAACATTTTAATCATAAAATTATGGATTTTTTATTATGTAAAAGAATTAAAAATTTGTATTGATTACAATTAAGATATACATTAATATTATAAATATAAAAATTATAAGAATGACTTATATAATTAAAGAAATAGTTTTTATATTAAATATATTTCTGCAATTCAGTTAAAAAATTTTTGAAATACTATTAATATCATCTTCAAAAAAAAATCTTTAGATCTCTTGCTTGAAGAGTTAATAAGTGACTAGATTGTGTGTAACATTCTTTATACTCAATAGGGATGAATAATATATGCACAAGTATACTGGTAAACACTTGAAACAAATTATGTAAGCCTGTAGGTAGTATAGCTCAGAGACAACTTAAGTCAAAAAGTACAAAATGCACATATGAAGGGAGAACAGGGAAAAATTGCTTGGGAAAGCTACTTTCATATATATTTGCATAAGTGGCTGCATCTAAAATTTGATAAAGCGAACAGAAGGGGCACTTTTAAAACGTATCATCTTATTTTGGTTAAAGATATATTAAAGACGCATTAGACATCTTAATTACATAACCCATTATATTATCAATGTTTTTAATTACCGCTATCTTTAACATGATATATCTATATTAAAACATAATAAAGGAAAATGTAATTACAGTTTTAGAAAAATAGAGCACAGAATGTTTGAAAATAATATATGGAACTATTCTTTTATAAGTTTATTTAGAAATTTATAAAAATAAATAATATACAGCTATCACCTATATATACCTCATAAATATGCAGAGTAATTCTGTTATATAAAGTTAATTTTTTGAAGAAATATTCTTATATTAAGTCGTTTTTTGTCACAGCAGTTTTTCAAACATTTTCTCTCATTCCTTGCAAATCTCTAATGGCAATAAGAATTAACTTAATGTGAGCGTTGGTTCTTGCAATCGCTTTCCGTAAATTCACTATTTGTTGCTCAAGTAATTTGATTCGTATATTTATAATGACTAAGGCTTCGTCCAAAGTGAATTCAATATAATGTCCTAAACCAACATCCAATAAGATTTTAGAAGCATCTGGAACGTGTGCTTGAATAAAGAAATTATTTCCAATATCGACTTTAGTCTTGAAACCGGTTTTTTCAACGTTTGTATTTTGAAACGTTGTTATCACTGATTTCAGTTGCAAAAATTCAGCAACGTCAGCATTTTTAGCATTAAGTTTTTCAGCTAGTTTTGCAAGATCCTCTTTCAACACGTCGTTTATAAAGGTCTCAAATTGTAAGATCTTCTCTTTAATTTGTGGATCCATAATTAATTAAGCCCCTGCACTATAAAATACAAAAAATGAAATTAGTTAATATGTATATATGTATATATATATATATATATAATGAAATCAACTAACACGTTAATAATTACTTGATTAGCAAGGCACTTCTTCCGTTGTAAAATCATAACAATGGATGCCTTGTTCATAAAGAATTCTCCTGCACTGCTGTGTTCGACAGAAATTTTTTACTATGATGATTATTAATAAATTATGTAGATTTCAATGTCGATTTCATCATCTGTAACGTTTTATTTAACTGCCTCAAATGTGTATTATACATAAAGAACGGTTCATTTATAGATAAATTTAAATAATATGGTGTTTTCTCGGAACGTGCAGATATTCATTATATTTCATGTAGTATAACATATGCGATATACAATCATGTAAGATGAAGAATGAGAAAAACAAAATACAAAACAATAATATGTAATATATTGAACAAAAGAACGTCGAATGCATTTCGCTAAAAGAACAGGTTATGTCACATCTAACAATTTTACTCACATGTTTCGTTTACAATTTGTTTTGTATGATGATGACAATGTCACTCACATTATCGGAGTTGGATTAAACTGTACCAGAATGAAAGAAAATCGAATTATAAATTCTTTTAGTAAACACAATAGCATTTTTATATTACATTATATTGTGATAACCGGATAGTGCATTGTGCGTCGTACTATGCGATATTTTGATCTAGCGGAGTGTTCTCAACAACACGTTCAATGATAATGAAGCAATGGCTGGTAAGGAAGATTCCGACCAGATTTTAGTCTATCGATTTTTTAGATAAAAAAAAGTATTTCTTTAAAAATCATTAACTCTTGTTATATGCAGTTTTATTTTATATATATTTTCAAGTATTTAAATCACATATCAATAGTTTTCTGTATTATTAATGCAATCTAGTATAAAACTGCATCAATATTAAATAAAATTTATTCTTACTTTAGTATATTTTTATTAAAGTACGAGTTTTTAATTAAGTGTTTTGATATATAATTTTTTTATAATAAAATTTATGTAATATAAACATTTTATAGCATAAATCCATGCATCATCTTAATTAATACGTATAAAAATTATGTATTTATTATTTATATCTGATGTTAATTAGATATTTTTAACTTTAATTTTAATGTTTAATAAGAATGTTATTAATAAATTTTGAGAAAATCATTTATAAGTAATATTAAAATCTACATGTCAGTTCTGAATTTTGTATAAAAATAAGGTAGCTATGTAAGATTATTTAGTGTCCACCTTGCCGTAGATCATATTCCACATTTTTGTCCGATAACTTCGACATGACAATATCGGTAATATATCGTCGGAAGTCTTTTGCATAATTTTATGGGATGCTGCTCGATTATATATAATACACGCACAACGTATCCATGCACCTGGAGATTGGAAGGTATACGTATAATAAGATGATACTTACAGCACCACACACAATGTTGTAAACAGTATTCTGCATAATTATATAGATATGTATATACATATATATATGAAACCTTATTTCTCGGTAAACTTATAGCTATCATATTTTATTAAAACTAATAAAAATATAATCTGTTAAAATAATTAAAGAAGTAAAAATTCATAATTTTTTCCACATATATATATGTATATATGGCATGTTTCTATACAAAATCAGTTAAAATAAATTCTATAAATACGCAAATAAAATTCTTATGATTTTCTTTTGCAAATTGTTGCATAACAATTACGCGTATACGACAATTATTATAGAATGACACATTATTTATTTCATTAAACCAATCGCATAATGAGATTTTGACAACAACAAATAATATAATTCAACATACGGAAAAGTATGCATAGTTCAACGATGAGAAGTGGAAATAGAGACTGAGAAAAATAAATATGTGTAAGTGTAATTAGGATAGCAATATATTTTTAAAAAGCTTTCCGATACTTTAATTTAGCAAGACTTTTGTAATTAATTTGGTAAGATTGCTACAATAAAGTCGGAACTTAATCTGATTTTAATAACTAATAAAAGTATCGATACATTCGCAAGGGGAGTCTTTTCTGAGAAAAGGAAATTCTCATTTACCAGTGAAATACAATTGCAAAAAAGGCGACCGTTCATTTACCATTTTCCATGGCAACACAATTTCATTTTTATCGACCTTTTTCTTTGACGTGTTGTTCATCTGATCGTTTTATTCTAGCAATATGGAATAAAAAACATTGACGATCTCGTGATACATCTCCCTCAGGCTGTTCTGCCGTGACTTAGCAAAGTATTTCGAATATTCGTTTTGGGATTACTCGATGAAGGTCTGTTCTTCTGTCTAAGTAAAAAGATCCGTGCGAAAACTATCATCTCCACATTTATGCGTAACGACCGATAGGCCGTCTCAATATTGTATTTTGTTTCGATATTCATCGGTTTACTTTCATTCCGCAAAACGATCGCCTAGTGTCGGTGACTGGCATTCAATGTCGCGGTGCATTCTTGTGGCGAGATTTCTCTAACAATCACCAGCGATATTACAACGAGTTGCTATTAATTCTTGACTGGCATGACAGGATTTGTAATGAGCTTTTGCATTATCCTACGTATATTACTTACATATTTTTATGCTATCACACATTTGCAGTTTTTATCTTTTATAGTAAGAGATCCGTTTAATTTTTAAATCAATTTCATTTTAATTTAGAGGTCTATTTGTAAAGAAAATATGCTTCTTAAAGGATACATTATCACTTAACAGATTGACTATCAAGACTTTTAGTGCCAGTTCTCCAGATATTTACCGCGCGACAAAACGATTTTGCTTAAACTCCAATCATCTTACCCGATTTTATTACATACTTTTGCCAGTCCAATGGGAAATCGGCACATCTCGCAAATAACGCTACTAATTGCAGAAATTACAATGTGACAAGGTGTGTTTACGATGAAATACTATAATGACATCTAAACTGATCATATCCATTCGTTTTACCACCAAAGTGAATTTGCACAGTGGTTCCGAGCGCGTGAACAATAATTACGGATTTCACGGTTAATTAATCGACTCTACCAGCCGATAGGAAGACACTGTTACTGATGAATCGCGATATCGCGTCGGAAAGTGCGTTTGCACGCATTCTCTCACGGTCGTGATATTCAGGGCCACGTGTGCAGACTTCATGGACCTCGTAACCGGTATTCAAGAAAACACGAACCTTTTCTTCCTCTTGTGGCGTTGACGGCGACATTAAGAACACAACTAGCACTTACTGCCCTATTCTTTATAAGAATTCCGTTTAATTTCTTATCTCTGGCGCGCAGTTCGCGCAAGCATCGAGTAGCGTAGGTGTATCGCACCCTTTTACGAGCATTGCGCACTAAGATTACTTGTCAAGACTATCTGACAGCATCCGCGATATAACTTGTGATTTACATCCCAGATAATATTTTAGTTGTGCTTTTAGCGATTTCATAAATTACCAATATCTCGCAATTTGCCTTTTAGTAAAGCAATCAAATGTATAGAGTGTGTATGAATATTATTCGGTCTTTAATTCTCCTATAAAAGGTGATCTCCAAACTGCATGAATAGGTACTCTCTTAGAATGAAAATTGAGCCAGTTTTTAAAAAAGAGTATTTTAACAGATTTTCACTCTTTTGGAGTGAGCTTTTATTTCTTTACGCGATTTTCAGTACTGGTAATCAATTTTGGAACCTATATGTCCGATTTAGAAGTACACGAATGTGTGTGTGATTATAAATTAATAAATTTCCCTGAAGCCATCGAATAAATCATAGAAAAAAACATTAGTTTATATAACGTAATATTTTTTTTATACTCTAAAATTAAATATAAAAATTACCCACGTTTTAGAATTATTTCGTTTGGCATCCTGATGTATTTTGAAGTATTCTACATATGTAATTTTCAGTAAGAGAAATCTACCAATATTACCAAGAATTAATCGCCCAATGTACGTGATTGATAACGCGCATACTAAAAATGAAGAGGTATTCTTATTTAAGGCATTTTTACAAAGAAACAACTATATTACATTCAACAATATTTCTTGATTAGTTTAATGATGCATCCCAACATTCTGTAGAAAGATCATTGTCGACCATAAACGCTACAGGCAAATGTTCTTACATATTTTTTTTTCGCATTAAAGGACCATCAGTCCTCCCTCCTTTCCTTTCTTCGAGCGAGAGTAACACCGTGCCCGTTCAATTGGTATGCGTGACCTACGAATGCACGCGATGAATGTGTACGTACACGTGTGATGTTCATCAAGTGGAAACGGTGTGATGCGGTGCGGCGAGCGCGTCCGTAACTGAGGGCAAGTTGCGCAGATTCGCGTATGGGCCTATAAAAGTCGCCGCAACGTTTAAATGCGACGTCCCGGGTATAAACCAGGGATAAGCGTATTGCTTATACAGTGCAGAAATACTCCATGGTCGGGATGCGCTGTAATGCTTTTATGCGTCTCCGAAAGACGGCTTCGTTCGCACAGCTTTCCCGCGGCGAAACAGCCGGATAGTATCGTCTCGCCGCGCCGATCACACTGTCCTTCACAGACGACGATCGCGACTATCCGGACCGACAGCGCTTAGAATCGGCAAGACTCGCTGAGACTCGCTTTGAAACAGGATCGAGACGAAGGTAGACTCGGCGATCATGACGAAGCACAAAGTAGCATTAACGGCGGTGGTCTGACATATAGTCGAATATCTTTAGATCAATGTTTTGCCTTTTTGTTGAACGATTCAACAATTTTTTTCCGAATGGATTTGACAATTTCCTTAACATTGAAACACATAAACTGTGTGAGTTGAAGCTAATTCATAAAAATTGAACGCTTGTTTTGTATGTTAACGAGTTATTTATAAGTCTCATTTATTGATATTGAATGTGTGTGTGTGTGTGTGTGTGTGTGTGTGTATGTTTTGATATTTAATAAGATAAGTTAACTTATCTTGAGATTATATAATATATATGTATATTTTTTAAATTTCCTAAACAAATAAAAGAAATCTTGAAAAACAATATTATGTCATATCTCATTTAAGAATTTAAAATGTATGCATATAAGATGTGTCGCTTATTATATACAGGGTGTTCAACGTAACGATCGAGGTAACGATCCATATGATTTCTTAGATACTTCTAATAGTTAAGAGAAAAGGTTGAAAATTGAGTATTTATCTATTTTATATAGACTATATAACATGCGATAAAAAATTTTTTAATAAAAGAATTAATGTCATTTTAAATTTTCTAAATATATAACATCATATAATTTTAATAAGTATTCATCTTCAATCTTTTTTTAACTATTAAAAGTGTCTAAAAAGACCGTTATGTTGAACACAACGGTTAAATATATATTTATTTTAAATTTACATATAATGTAATGTATAAAAAACATATTAAATATAAATTATGTATTTGCAATTATAATAATATTGTTTTAAACTTGTTAATAAAAAGCTTAGTTATTTCAAACGTAGAGAATAATTGTACACATATGCAAACACTATGTAAAACGCTCATTCGTTTTACCATATTTTTCTTTCTCGCAATATGAATATTATTGATTTATAATAATTATAATTACAAGTAACTAATGATTTCATTTGCAATGGTTGAGAGATTCTCTCTGATTCCATTATAGATACAATAATGAAACGGCGTGAC